GGCCTTCTTTGCGTGCTGGTCCACGGCACGATTCGCGAGACCAAACCTACGATCTTCGCCTTCCAACTCCTCGAGAGCAGACAACTCACGATGGGCCTTTACATGGAAGGTCGACAAGAACTCCGCGCCTGCTAGCTCATGGGCAAAACGCCTCGCACCAGCACGTTTAGCGGAGCCAGCAAATTGCTTCCAAAGGGGCCTCTGCGTCTGACAAATCACAGCTTTACAATCCAGGGCCAAGAAAGTGGGGCGATCAGCTACCTGCCCGACTAGGGCCGCCCCCGCATGTTCCGCCATCGCAGGGGTTTGGGGGGAGACCACCAGGCACAATGCCCCTGAGGACGGCCAAGAGAGACTCACTGCTTGGCTCCATGAGCGCGATCGCCCACGAAGCTCGATGGAGACAGCGAAGGGCCTGCTTCGCGCAGCTCCCGTCCGACGCCATCTCCAGTTGCACAACGTCTCCTGCGAGCGCCGCAAGACCCCCAGGCTGCATATTCAAATCGGCTCCTGCGCCGTCGAGGATGTCACAAGGGGGGTGCGAGGCAGGAGGGGCGCATCATCATCAGAGCACGTGAAAAGCCCACGAGTGAACACATGATCATCGCTGTGTGCCCCCTCCTCTAAAATTTCCGACGGGATCCCGAGCTCTCGTCGGGCCTCCACAACCTCTGGGCGCTCACAGGTGCACAGCCTATGGTGCAACGTGTCACGCTGGCCGCGCAATGCCATCAGTTAAGTAACCAACATCACACGCACGAGCTTCGGTCCAAATCGCATCCGCGGCGCAGGACAAAAGGAGGAATTGTTGCTGGCGGGTGTGATGCTTACTGCGCGTACACATGCAAATGCGCACGAGGTCGAACGTAGCGCGCGTGCCCTGCACCTGTCCAAGCCTGCGTGCAAAACGAAACTCGGCCTCTCGTTGCAAACCCTCTCTCAGAAGGTCGAGAAGGAGGCGGGGCGGGGTCTTGCTTAAATATACGGTGCACCCCCAATGGTCGATCCACTGCGTTCCTGACACCACTTTCCAGCCAGCACGACGAGCCGATAACGTGGCGCGGGACAAGGGGCCACGGCTGGATTTCCAATCGCCAGCATCGCTGGCCTTGGCCTGCTCCCAAAGTTGATGCAGCTCCTGGAAGGGAATCAGGGAACGAGCGGGATTGACCTGGGAATCCCAAAGCATTCGGCAGCACTGAAGGGCAGGACCAACTGCTGCTCGAGTGTCCCACTGTCCATACAGCACAAGCTTCGCAGTCGCACTTGTCCCTCCATGAGAGGGGGGGGGGGGGGGGGGGGGCAACCTTCGAGCTTGCGTCCTTCGCACAGTGTTAAGCTCAGCTTCCGAGAACCCTAAGACCTCAGACCCGTACGACGACGCAGGAGCAACGCCCGTGCGAAGGACCCGAGACAAACCTTTCTTGGCCTCCTTGTTGGGAGCTCGAGACTTAAACCTGTCAGTCTTTTTTTTTGCTCCCAGCTTCATTCCCCAGAGGCGGGGCCGCTGTTTTACACGCGCACGGGCAGACGAACGCTCTGCACCAGCACTGTCATCAACTCCGAGATAAGTGGCTGAGTGCTTCACGACCTTGGGCTCAAGCCCTAGGCCTCGCACGACATCCCGTGCAAGTGAGACCTCGCTGGCGACAACGGCGACCTTATCATTGATCACCGCATTGATCTGCTTACTCGCGTGATAAAAAGCACGGCCTGCTGAGATGGCAAATTGCACTGCGCTCTCTCTCTGGGAGCTGGATATCTGCATGCCCGGGTCGTCTATATAAGACGTGAAACGAACAAGAGGAGGCTGACTTGCAACAACCTCATCAAACGCTTTAACTGCATGCACCTTGATGCTGATATCATTGAAACAATCCCCAGCGGGTAAACCGAAATCAGCGTGGGCGACCCCGTCAGAGCGATGCTGCCTGAGGCGCAACACCCGAGGAGCCCTCCACACATTGAAAACGAGTTTCAAAAATGCCGTGGGCACCTTGAATTCGAGAAACTTGTCCCGAAGCTCGAGAAGGGGGATCGTCTCATAGTACTTACTATAATCTGCAATTAGGAGTACACTGAAGCGGTTGGAGGTCACATCGGCCTCCGCTCTCGCCGCTTGTGCCCACGCACAATCCACCGAACTCATCCCCCGACTCGCCCCCCAGTACCCACGCCCCACCTCCTCCAAGAGAGCACCTAGCATAGGCCGCCTCAGCCTCTGCCAGATGCGGTACATACCGCTATAGAGCACGATTAACCTGTGTCCTGTCGATGGTTTTCGGCAACATTGGCATTAGCACCCACAACAGCTGTTTGGGTAAGAGGCCGATCGCCTCGCAGCACTGCCACAAACCTGCTAACAGATCTAAGCCCTCATCATCGAGTAGCAAGAACTGCCGTGGACGAAACTGATCCAAGGACCTAGCCGCCGTCTCGGAAAAGCTCTGAATAACTCCGCGCACTTCCCCAGGATCGGCCCGAGGAAAGCTGGGCCGATCTGGGGTCCAGGCAATCGGTGGTGGGGTGGCGGTCGCTCGCCAGAGCTTGCGATAAAATCTGCAGCTCGTGCTGCACTACACTATGGGGGTCAGCGCTGGGGCCTTTAGGATCGTGGACAACCGTAGGGGAAACAACGCTCCGAACCTTCGTGGCCCTGTGAAGGCCCCGCGCACCCCCCATGCTGGAAGTCTTGCACCAATCACTCCAGCTGGTCTGGATTTCTTGTGATGCACCTTTTACAGCTACTGACGCGTCCACAGAGATATCTTCGAGAAACTGCTTCACATCTTCCCGAAAAAAGAACTCCTGACACAACATGGTTCGCGCCTGCCTAACCGAGTTATCTAACCGAGCGCTCAGACCGAGCCCTGGGTAGTCGGAATCACGAAAAACAGTTAACTCGGCTAGCATAGCATTCTGATTGGCATCGTTCATATCATCTAAATCCGCTAGCTGACCTAGGTGCTGGACTCCGTTACGAAGCCACTGCCACCCGTCCGCTACTAAACACTTCTCGCTGTCATCAGGCACAGGGCATTCAACATTGACCCAGCGCGGTGCAAATTGGCGCCCAAACGTACCGAAGCTATTTTGCGCGCCCCCAGTGCAATAACTGATGCGCCGTGCAGTGATTTGGGCAAACTTGCCCCAGCTCGTACTTAAAAGATGATGCACCACCCCTGGATCAGCCTTCTCGCCCCCAGCCATTTCCACACAGCGCTCAACCAACCCCTCACAGGACCCCAGTCAGGTGGCTTGGGACGAGGGCCGACCGGGGGGGAGATTGAAAGAGAAGGCGCAACGGTGTACACTAGATGCTGCACTCTGAAACCCTGACTTGCAATGGCTAGTTGCACGGGCCTATGGGGTCTGATCGACCAACTCGCGTCAAGTTTAACATGTTTATACGCGCGTATGCACGGGTCGTTTAAACCAAAATAATCGACGATCGAACTACCTGCTCCACCTCGGCACGCGCACAACTTAGTGGATACTAGCGTGAGACCCGCAAAGCTACAGAAACCTGAATCCTCAACTTCATCTGGAGACATGTTCCAGTCGCCGCCCACTATACACGGGCCTTCAAAACTCTCTACAACTGCACCTGCTGCTGCCATTAGCTTTGCACTCTTGCCCTGAGGGCCTATGCTTGGGTACAGGTACATATTGACTAAGTGGAGAGTGGGCCATCCTGGGATGTCGAGCTGCACGTGCTGTACGCGGTGCTCACATACTTGATGCATGCCACGTTGGGGCGCGCGCACTCCGCACTCACCGCGCACAAAAAAAACAGCTACTCCAGCACTGGGCAAATTACCTGCTGACGGACATGAGGGCAACGCCATCATGCTCCAACCTCGCACTTGCGCCCAACTCTGAATGGCTTCAACCTGGTCAGCCACACCGCCGAACTCTTGCACAATCGCTACCACCGCTCGAGTCGCCTTGAGACGCTTCTTGAGTGTGCCCTTACCGCCGCCACAATTGAATTGGAGGGTGAAAGTGGTGGTCGGGCGCAGGGTCCCGGCAATGATTTTTTTTAAAGTCATGAATGGGCGATACATCCTCGATTGCTGTGTTCGGCGGGGGAACTAATTGAAGCCCCCCGCCTGCGCCCGCGCGCGAGACTTGAGGGGAAAAGAAGCAAAGGGGCGGGGGGCTCGGGAAAGGCGACGAAGGCAACGCGCGCTAAAGGCGCAACAAGAACAGGCTGGAACACACGAAAGCGGTCGGGTGAGTGTCGAAATCTGCCCAGCCAATCTGGCACGCGGAACACTGCGCCTCAGTTTTGGGGATCTTGAAGGCCAGGGCAAAATGTGAATTCACATTTTGGGAAAAAGGAAAATGTGAATTCACATTTTCGGAAAAAGGAAAATGTGAATTCACATTTGGGGAAAAAGGAAAATGTGAATTCACATTCTGGAATTTTGCGTAGGATTCTTTATGAAGGGGCCAGAATGTGAATTCACATGCTTGGAAAAAAAGAAAATGTGAATTCACATTTTGGGGAAACGGAAAATGTGAATTCACGTTTTTGGAGAATCGCGGGGCCCATTCCAAATCTGTCTTGGGGGTCGAGAAGTCACCGTTTGGGAACATACGCGATCATCAACCGCACAATCAAAACACACTTGCACTCCACTTCGCCGACCCGCGCGCAATATGCAAGAACGCCCGCACGCATGAACGATAATGGATGGACGGCGCGCGCGCTCGCGCGGGCAACGCGCGGGCGCGAATGACTGGCCACCAATGACCGCCAGCATTGGATGCCAATCGTACCCGATCACATACATGAGCGATACATTGAGCATACATGGGCCATTCAGCCCCCATTGAAGACCCCCTGTTGCAGCACCCCGTCTTTCACCCTCCAATTGAAGCTCTCGATCACATGTTCACCGCTGTCTTTGCCCATCACAGGCGGTGCTGGTGGAAACGAATGCGGCCTGAAACCTGTGACGCGTGGCATCAGAAATCCGTTATGATCATACTTCCTGCGCAGAGGAGCACGAGCTCCAGCACCTGGGCGCGCGCGCGCCGCATCAGCGCCCTCAGAAGCCGGTCTAACAGGGGAGGCGCCTCCTGCACTCTCACCCTTGCCGCCAGGAGGAAGCACCGCGCCCTCAGCTGCCAAGCCTCGGCCTGGCCGCTCGCGATCCCCAGCAGCACCCTCAGTCGGACTAACAGGGGAGGTGCCACCTGCACGCTCACCCTTGCCGCCAAGATGTAGAGCCGCACCTTCAGCTGCCACCTCACGGCCTGGCCGCTCGCGAACCCCAGCGGCACCCGCAGAAGTCGGACTAACATGGGGAGGTGCCACCTGCACGCTCACCCTTGCCGCCAAGATGTAGAGCCGCACCTTCAGCTGCCACGTCTTTGGTCCTCGAGGTTTGAAGAGGATGTGAGTGACCTCCTATCCCCTCCAATCTGGTCCGTCCATCATGCGCAGCGAGATGCTCGTCACCCATGCCGCGCTCTCTTCGCAACGTAGAGCTCCTCCAGCTTGGCAGTGAAGTCCTCGAAACTTGAGCAGCTGGACCAAAGGCTAAGCCGCTCCTTGCTGGACAACTCGATGAGCTCATTGTTACGTTTGGCTCGCCCTGCATCTGCGCCAACAGCTCCTGCTGCTGCAGCACCATTGTCAGAGGGTGCGCCACCACCTGTACTAGCCCTTGCAGCATCATCACCAGTTGAATCACCCATGCTGTCATCAGGGACAGTCTCCTTCGGCATGACGCGGATGCGAGCCTGCAACTTCTCCCAGAGCGGACTTGCCAGGAAGTCCTCGGCCTCAGGGTTCTCCTTCTTGAAGTTGTCGATGTCGTGAAGCAGCACTGGGCCAGGGACGGGCTTGCACTCTCCATCGGCATTCTCCTCTTTCGGCGACACCAGCGCAGCCGTCCTGTCAAACTCCGTCTGCAAGACCGCCAGCTGCACCATCTTCGTCTCCAACATCTGCTCGCGCTCCTCGATCGAAACGCACAGCTTCTCATACTGATCTTTCTTGTCGGCCAAATCCTTCGACATCGTTGCGATCGCAGCCTTCGCTTTGCTGAGATCCTGTGCAGCACGACGGTGTGCTGTCTGAGGTGGCCGCATCTGCTTCTGCTGTGTGCGCAGCGTCGAGAGCTTGGTCTCCATGCTGCACCGTATAACTTTGAACTCCTCATGCGCTCCCATCGTCTTGATAGAGGCCTCCAGCTCTTGAATTTGAACGGCAATTTTAGCTCGTCGTCCTTCATCAGTGTCTGGTTCAGCCTCAGCAGTTTTGTTCGCCCGATCCTGTGCCTCACGCTGCCATGGAGGTGTCGGAAGGGGGCTCCGTAGTCGAAGTGGTACTCTTCGAGAGCGATGCCATGAGGGAGTCCAGCTTCTTCTCCATTGCACTGAACTTATCTCCCTTGCCACCGCCTTTACCTTTCGGTTGAACGCGACCTTTTCCTTTTCCATGACCTTTGACTCCGCTCCGCTCCAGCTGCTGCATGGCAACCTTGTGGGCAGTGAAGGCTCGCGCTCGAATATGTGCGGGTGCCGAGCGCCCGCACTCACACTTGATCCTGGACGCCCAGTTATGCAGGCGGGTGCAAGAGCCACACGCACACTCTGGCTTCCTCGGGCCAAGCAAGACATCCCAGTCCTTGTCATCGAGGGCTGGGGCCATCCGCTGGTCTCTCTTCTCACACGTATGCCAAAACGGCTTGCTCGCTCCAGCAGGGGCTCACTGAAAGCTGGCCGAGGCAGCCAGGCCTCTGGAAGGGGCTGCCCTTCCACCTCGGCCTCGAGCCTCGGGAGTCGGGACGGGAGGTAAGCTCCGTCTTGAGCCAAACTGGCTACGGGGATCGGGGATGGGAGGAGGGGAGGGGGGGAAGAGGGGAGGAGCGGAGACGAGAAGCAGAGGAGGAGGACGCGGGGCGCTGTCCCTTCCAAACCGGAGGCCCAATACTGAAGACAGAATTTCATAGCCCCCACCTCGATCCCGGCACCCCCTGGCACCCCCAGGTGGTCGACGACACTCTGATATCAGGGGTGATGGAGGGAGGGAGGAGGGAAGGAGGAAGAGGGGATGAGGGAAGGAGGGATGGAGGAGATGAGGGAGGGAGGGAAGGAAGAGGGAGGAGGAAGGAGGGAGTGGCGAGAGCGAGAAGTGAATGAATGAGAATGAGGGGAGGGAAGAAGGAGGGAAGGAGGAGGGATGCAGGAGGGGGCGTAGGAGGTCACAGAGGAGGAGGGGCGGAGAAAATGCGGGAAGGAAGCAATGAGGAGGGACGAGTGAAGGGAGGGAGCGAGGAGGGAGGGGGGGGTGGGAGGAGAGGAAACGAGGGAAATATCGCGAGGTAGTGGGGTGCGAGAGGAGGAGCGGGGAAAGAGTGGAGGAGTGATAAAGGGGTGATGGGGAGAGAAGAAGGGAGAGAGGAGCGAGGGCACGGGCTAGGAGGAAATGAGCGTGGGGAAGAGGTGAATGAGGGACGGGACGGGAGGAGCGAGGAGTGCGGAGCGAGAATGGAAGGGGCAAGCGAATGGAAGAATGAGGGCAGGGAGGAGGTGAGCGGGTATGGCAACGAGGGATAGGAAGAGGAGTAGCCACATGTGATGCTGGGGGAGGGACCCCCACCCCCAGTCCCCGCAGCGCCCCCGAAGGAGTGCCACAAGCGCACCTAAATGCGCTATTTCGGTGACCCAAAACGATCCGGGGCATCTTTGGGGGAGGCCCGACGCGCTCGAGACATCCCCCCAAAACGCTCGGATTTCTTACCCCCCACCCCGGTCCCGGCAGCACCCTCCAAGGCCTCCGAATAAGCTCCCGCGGGGAGTCCCGAGGAGCGCCGCGGGGAGGGGCGCCGCGCTCGAGACGTCCCCCAAAACCCTGGTCCCTGCAGCACCA